AGGGAATATGGAGGCTGAATGTGGAATGAAAGAAAGCCTTCCTGCTCCAATGCCTCTTGCGGGATCCCATAGGGTCCCTTAGATGTTTGCTCTAGAACAGTGGTTCTCAACCTTCCTAATGCCGCGACCCTTTAATACAGTTCCTCATATTGTGGTGACCCCCAATTTCATTGTTACAAATTGAACATAATTAAAGCATAGTGATTAATCACAAAAACAATATGTAATTATATATGTGTTTTCCGATGGTCTTAGGTGACCTCTGTGGAAGGGTCATTCGACCCCCAAAGAGGTCACGACCCACAGGTTGAGAACCGCTGCTCTAGAAGGACAAAGGATGCATCAATACCCAGGGGGAAATATCATAAGTGGATTTCCATCACAAAATGCAAAGAACTCCAAGCCTATGGTCAAAACTATTCTTACCACTGTGAGGGGTGCCAAGCTCCCTCCACCTTCCTGGCTCCCTTGTATTTTTTCCAGCCCTACACACCATCAACACCATCAGGCAGGGCTCCCAACGTGGAACACTCTTGGAAGACACACAGCCCCTGGGCCCCCAGATGCTTCCATTTCCCCTTTATGGAAATGAAGAAATGTCAACATCTTCAGTGAGGAAAGAGAGCCAGGAAGCAAGTGAGAGCTAAACACAAATGAGAGCATTCAAAGGCCTGGTTGCCTGCCTGTTCCTTGGGCAATAAGGCTGCTCTAGAAAGCCTTTCTGGCCTATTTCAGCAGAAATCAAACTAAAATAAATCACAGGCAGCCTTAAAAGAAAAGGGATAAAATTATGCTTTTAGGATATCAATACAGATACAGATTTAAATACATGTGTTATACATTTTATGCATCCATAGGGAGCACACATAGAATGACCTCACTACAGATGGCCAAGCACTAACAGAGGGGCTGTATTTGGGGCTTCTGTAATTACGATAACTAGATAGTTGACCAAAAAGCAATAAGGTGGTAAAGGCACAGAAGTGAGCATGGTAAAATGCACTGGGGTAAATTCTGCCTCTTGACATCATTATTGAAACAGGCCGGTAGTCCCTTGGTCACTAGCAATAAGTAATTTAAAATATATCAAGTGATAATGAAAGATAAGTTCTAGGTTAACGTGCAGATAGGAGCCACCACCTATCACTTCAGCTGGATTCAGAGATGGACAAAGACACATATTCTGAGGCTGTGCATTCACAAAGGCAGAAATTGAAGATGTTCATGTGAAAAATGGAGAACCCTCCAACTTAAACAGCAGTAATGGTTTAAAATAGTCTGAGAAAATGGGAGACAAAATGACCTCCTTGTATGACCACTACTTATCTGGAATAAGTGGAAACAAAAAGTGGGTAGGGCTTTCACCCCTTCAGAAACTTAGCAAAGATCCAAGATCTCTCTTTAACCATTCACAGATGAGCTGCACTCCAAATATTAACTCTTTCCCAAATACCAAACTGAAATGGATGAAGCTAAAAATTATCTGTGATCATTCATTCAGTCAATTAACATTTACTAGGTGCCAACTTTGGGCCTGGCACCAGATAAGGAATGATGAACAAGACCAGTAGGAATGTTGTCACCACAGAGCTCAGCCTGCTCTCCTGCTCTAGATGGCGCCATCAGCATCTGGTCATGGTAAATCGACAGAACAGAGAGAAAACTCTATGAAGTTTACAGATCACCCTCCCACGGAAGGAAGGCCATCAATAATGTTTGTGTTCTCAGGTCAATCCATAAAGCTAGAGCGGCCCTGCATTCAGCCCCAGTGTGGTTTTTAAGAGGTTTCCGGTTGTATTACCCTAGGCCCGTGGTCGGCAAACCGCAGCTCGTGAGCCACATGCGGCTCTTTGGCCCCTTGACTGTTGGTCTTCCACAAAATACCACGTGCAGGCGCGCACGTACAGTACAATTGAAACTTCATGGCCCATGCGCAGAAGTCGGTATTTTGTGAAAGAGCCGGTATTTTGTGGAAAAGCCACATTCAAGGGGCCAAAGAGCCGCATGTGGCTCGCGAGCAGCGGTTTGCCAAGTTGCAGTTTGCCAACCACTGCCCTAGGCCCTTTAACAGTATTAAATTGTAGTTTATAATCACAGAAACAGTCAATGCTTGCCTGGCAGGTATGGCTCAGGGATTGAATGTCGATCTGTGAACCAGGAGGTTAGAGGATATTCCAGGGTTGTGAGCTTGATCCCCAGTAGGGGGCATGCAGGGGGCAGCCGATCAATGCTTCTCTCTCATCATTGATGTTTCTCTCTCTCTCCCCCTCTCCCAAATAAGTAAAAATATATATTTAAAAGAAGAAACAGTCAATACTTAAGACTGAAGTGTGCAACGCTGGGGATGGGTAAAAAGCTGTAAATGCCTATGGGTGGGCTGGCCGCCCTTTTCAGTCACACTCTGCCTCCAGGAGAGGGAATATGAATGGAGGGCAGAATCTCCCCAGAGTGCTTATGAGGGTGAGAATTACATTTGGAATAGCTCACCTGCATGTGAGCCAGTGGCCTCTCACATGGAAACAAGACATTGGTTCTGGCCAAGGCTACACACATTTCTTACCTTGAAACTCAGAAATCACAACTGACATATTTCCTAGCTTTTTCAGGAAGTATAATAGTGTTTTTACATATTCTGCCCTTTTTCAGACATATGTTTTTTCAGCAGTAATCGTAGCCCTAATAGCATTTAAAGTACATTAGCTTACATGAATTTTTAAACACCACTTTTTATGCAATTTCATTTTCCCTCATTGCATGAGCCTCATCTACTAGATTCCCCCCAAATTATCAACTCAGCATCTGACTAATAAAACCATAACCTCAATGCAGGTCTGTTTTGTTCAAACCATGGCATGGATAGACATGTAGCTAAAAATAGAAAAAGTAGTTATTCTAAACAAGAATGTGAGTCTCCAAGACAATTTTTTAAAGTATTTAATTTATGTTTAGAAATAAGAGAGTTAAGCATACTGCCTGAAGGAAGTCGTTTAGTGGCTCTCTGACAAGGTTGAGCAAAATTTTTCTTGCAATTCATTAAGAATACCCTTAGGTTACATGTGGAAAATGTAGGTGCCTTAGCAGTAATCACCCCAAATTACCCAAATAAAATACTGTTTCCGTCTTAGTGCCAGAGTCTCTGAATGAACTCAGTCTTCTCTGAACCAAACTCTCCTCCATCCGAGCTACAGAGAATATGCTAACTTTCACAGATCATTCAATCGGTGGTTTTCCTAACACTAAGTCGGGGTAGGGAGGAGTTTTCAAAGCCTTTGCTGAGCTCCCAAAAAGACCTAGACAGATCCTCTCCCTGAAGACCCATGAGCTGGAAAGATCTCAAACTACACTCTCAAGGTGGGAAAGGGATAGAGCCAGAGTCTGCCTCTCTAGGTAAAAAATGGATGCTTGGGGACATCCATTCCAACTGCCTCTAAGGAGAGAAAGCCCCTGATCAGAATGAGGAAAGCAAAATGCTATGGGAGGTGGCCGACATGCAGAGAGCAGAAGCCTGGCCTGGGCCCGGGCACATGGGGACCCAGGAAGGTCTGAGAAGCAGTGGGGGAGTTTGATTTGCAGTACCTCTCCTGCTTCCTGTCACACTCACAATGAGACCTGGTAGCCCATGTGTATCCTAGGGAACAGAGATTCTCCAAGATGCTCAGGCAACAGCAGCATCGGTGTCCCTTGCGAAGTGCTACAAATGCCCATTCTGGGGCCCACTGCAGACCTGTTAAATCAGAAACTCGCGGGGTGGCCCAGAAACCTGTTTCACAAGCCCTGCAGGAGTTTCTGATGCAAAGTCCAGTTTGTGAGCTACCACCATAGGATTAATTAAAATCACGGTAGTGTAGCTCCTCTTCCAAGACTTAGTTATAATTAGAGAATGGCAGATCTTTCTTCCTCCAAAGGAAATGTCAAGGGTCAGCAGGCCAAAGGGTGTCAGGAGGAGGTTTGAGGGGTTTAAGTCCCAGGTGACCACTACTCCTCCCCTTCACTTTGGGTTTAGGAATCTTGGTGATGGGCACCAACAGAGAGAGAGGAGAAAACTTCAGAAACGGATCTAATCCACGTCAGAGGCCAGGGGACGCTAGGCAACTTCCTGCTACTTAATCATTCCCTTCCAACTAAACAAGCAACATCAATGGTAGTTGTAATAAGCCATACAGATCAAGAAAACCCACCAGACCTTCTCTCCAAAGCAACTAAGACACCACTAAACCGTCTTCACAGCTTTCCCAAGCTCGTGGCAATTTATGAGACCACACAAAACTCAACAATAATATATTAGTCAATATACTAGTGTAAGTTTAAACTTCAAAGCAAATGCTCTTAAACCACTAAAACTCTTGCCTACCACAGGAACATTTAAACAAGTTTTCCCCCTAAAATTAATTTTCAGCTCGCTAAATGAGACCAGTGATCTATTCTTGGGCAACATAGACCCTAAATTTTAATCACGCACTCTGAATTTTCCACTTCACAAAAGAAGTCACTCATTCACAAAGCAATGGTGTGCTACTAAATGGCTGTTAGTTTGCTTCCCAATGCTGTTCAACTTCCAAGAGATGAGATTCTGAAACAGCAGTCACAGCACCAAAAGCCTACCACGGAAGATCTGGAAGTCAAAATGACCAGGAGAACCTTTCTGCACACAGTACACATGGCCATAATTAGCCTACTTCTACCAAGCCTTGCCTTCCTTTCTGATGCAAAAGGGAAACTTGGGCACTATTTGCCTATATCATTATTAGTCACTTGATACTCAAGAAACCAGTCCCATGTCTTCTGGGACAACTGTCCTCATTGGAAAGCAGGTAGTGCTGAGTAATCAACATTATTTTGCTCTGTCTTGGTTTGTAGAATCATATCCTTGTTGCTATTTTTTCAGCCTTAAAAACTAGTGATCGTAAATCTAGCTGCTTCCTTCTTTAGTGGTAATTAGCATTAGTCATAAGCCAAAAATGATTCCACATAAGAAGTAAAATAAACACAACCCTTCTTACCTTTCATGCCAAACTTGGAGTGTCTTGCCAACTTCAGCAGAAACAGCATTACCAGCAGACAAAATCCCACTACAGATGCAATTACCACCACAGCATAAACCTAGAGACAGGAAGGGAGGACAGTTATGGCCTTGCTAATTAGTTTCCAATATCCAGATGATGATGATGATAATTAATATTCATACAATGCTTACTACTTGCTCTTCTAAGAACTGTATGTATATCAATTCACTTAATTCTCAACAACCCTACAATGATGTATGTATTATTATTTCTACTTTTCAAATGAGAAAACAGAAGTTAAAAGTTATAAAATGCATATCTAATTGAAATTATGTAGAGATATAGATATACAACAGATATATGCACAGATATATGTAATATATCTATACTGAAATATAATATTAGATATATCTCTATCTCTTCCCATCTACCTACCTATCTACCTACCTGGAGAATAGAAGAATGAAACGAATAAAAAAAATACTGATAATATTTGAAGTTGGTGAAAGATATAATGAGATTCATTTTACTGTTCTTTCAACTGTTATGCATATTTGAAAATGTTTATAATAAAAATATGTTTTAAGTTGGCTATTGTTGCTCTTAGAAGTCAGGGTCCTCTGGAGCACTGAGTGGGCCTGGAAAAGAGCAATATGGCACTTGTGGGTGAGTTAACTTGTGAAAGCTCATTAGGTTGTAGACTTACGATGTGTACACTTCTCTATATGTATGATAGAGATCAATTCAAAGGTGTTTTTTTAATTTAAAAATGTAATTGCAAGATGTGGATTCTATAAGTTGAGAGAGTAAATGCAGAGAGTAAATTCTATGTGAATCCTGTCTCACCCCTGAGCTGGAGATCACAGAGGCACAAGTGCATGATGCTAACAAAATGCACAGTAACATTTTAGAAACAAAGATGGATGCAGGGTTGTGTATTTCCTTCCATTCCTACTGCTCACCCCAAGGCCCTGCTGCCAAGAAAAGTTTGATTCTCTAAACCAGAATTGGCAAATATTTGTTGTCAAGGCAACTGATTTCATTGCTGCTGCAAGATCTTAGGCTAAGGCAGTGGTTCTCAAACAGGGAGAATGTTGCACCCCTGGGACATTTGGAAAATTGGGGCTGTTACAACTATGGGAAAGCATCTAGTGAGTTGAGGCCAGGGATGCTGCAAAAACATCCTAAATACCTAGAACATCATCTCACCACCACAACAATGATTTAGTCATCGACAATAACAATGTCAATAGTGCCAATGTTGAGAAACTCTGTTCTACTGCTCTCTTCACCTCTGCCATAGTAAATGCTAACTTCCCAAAAGGTGGCTGCTTGTCAGACTAGTCTTGCAATCAGGATGAGGCTGCAAGAACTTCCTGCCAATACATGTACTGAAGCAAGAATTAAACCTTTGTTGCTTCAAGCCACTAAGATTTGGGAATTCTTGTTACTGCAGCATAGCTTATCCTAACTGATACATCCTCACAGTGAGAAGATTAAGAATATGGGTTCTTCCTGAGTTTAAAATTTATATTTACCATTGATTAGTTTTATGACTTCAAAATTACTTTACCTTTCAGAATCTCATGATCTTCATGTGTAAAGAGGGAATATAATAATTCCACTTTGCAAGCTGTAAATCCTCAGTGAGTTAGTGCAGATAATGGGCTTGGAACAGTATCTATCTACAATAGATACTAAATGAATGTCAGCTATCATTTTTATTGAGTTTATTGGGTGACATTGGTTAACGAAACCATATAGATTTCAAGTGTACAACTCAACAAAACATCATCGCCACACTGCGTCATGCACCCATCATGCAAAGTAAAGTCTCTCTCCGTCCCCATTTATCCCCCTTTGCCTTCTTTTACCTACCCCCTACCCCTTTCCCGCTAGTTATCACCATGTCTGTGCCTCTGTGGCTTATACATAGTTGTTGTTGTTTTTGCTTAATCCCTTCACCTTTTTTTTTTCACCCAGCTTCTTATGTCAGCTACCATGATGATCATAATAATGATAAAATAGATTTAGGAAAAATTTAATAAGCAGCCCAAGATCACACCTTTGAAGCTTGGGATTTGAACGAAAGTCTGCCCAAGTATAAACCCTATGATTTATCCACTATATTGCCACTCCTAAGCATGTGGCTGGAAGTGAAGATGGGATAATAAAAACACATGGCTAGACCTCCACAGCACCTTCTCTGATGTCAGATGGGGACAGCATTAAATAAGTCACAAAGCACAGAAAAAAGCACATGCCAAGCACTTGGCAAAGGTGTGATAATTCTCTTCTCTGGTACTTGAGCTGTGAGTGGCTCTCTCACAAAAAGCTTTTGCAAATGTCTAAATATACACTAAACTCTCTCTACAGTCTATATACAAACAACATGGTAATGATTCCTAAAAAGCTAGTTTTGGATCAACTTGTTCTAACCAAGATCATTTCCCTTAATTTGCCTAATTAGTTTGGATGTGGTTATTTGTTTGTTTTTAATCTTTATTTCTAACATTTTCATGGTAAAGAGATCATAGTATTTTAGCTCTAGGTTTCTCTACCCTATTACTATGTCCAGACTTCTGTGGGTAGAAGGAGAATACCTAAAGAAACAAATTCAAACTATTTTACCGATAAGGAACCTGGGATGAAGAAAGGTTGGAGGGCTAGCCCTGAGTCCCAGGACCTCTCTGAAGTCCCACAGTAGTCTCTTATCACTTTGGAAAGTACTTGAATGGCATTCAGGAGATCTGAGTCTTTGTGTTTGCAGAACACTTTGACTTTACCAGCTGTAAGAACTAGATCAGAGCCTTTACTTCCCCAAGCCTCCATTCCCTCATTTGTCCATGCAAATAAGAATACCTGCACTGCCTTCTCTGCATTATTAAAGAACACTTAATTCAACCTGCAGAGAAGGGGTTTTACACCTGAAAAGTAGTTAATGGTCTGCCAACAAATATTTAGACCTATTAAAGCAGCTTTAAATGTAAAGAATCCTTTAATAAACAAAGATTCTCTTGAAAATGAGAAGAATCATTTCCTCAAAAATGGTTTGATAAAAACAGACTGAAAATGTACTGTGATTGTGTTAGGGTGGGTATGGTCTTTATATGGGGACAAATAGGGGTGGGTTGGTTTGTTTGGGTGGTTGGGTTGGATGGTTGGTTGGTGTTTTGTGGTTTGGTTGGTGGGCTGGCTGGTTGGTTCATTTTTATCTGAGGATATCTCGTAGCATAAAACAAGGAGTTGCCCTCCTCTGGAAACCCAGCAAGTTTCATGGGAGCACTTGGAACAGAAAGGTGAGTGTTTGGGGCTGTCTTCCAAGTGCTCTGACAACTTTAACTTTTGCATCAGCTAGTGGCTCTGAAACTTTTCTTCTAATTGAATAATCTCCCCCTCTCCCTCTCACTCCCCCCCACCCCGTGATCATGGACTATATATATATATATATATATATATATATATATATATATAATCTGATCCACACATAATTTTTTTTAATATATTTTATTGATTTTTTACAGAGAGGAAGGGAGAGGGATAGAGAGTTAGAAACATCGATGAGAGAGAAACATCGATCAGCTGCCTCCTGCACACCTCCTACTGGGGATGTGCCCGCAACCCAGGTACATGCCCTTGACCGGAATCGAACCTGGGACCTTTCAGTCCGCAGGTCGACGCTCTATCCACTGAGCCAAACCGGTTTCGGCCCACACATAATTTTTAAATTTTCTTTTAAATTATAAAAATATGGTCTTATACCCCTCAGATATATTTCCAGGGGCCTCAGGTAGAGTCATAAATGTAGAGACTTAACACAGATTATTTTAACTGATCTTGCTTTCCAGTGACCCTCCTGTAGACAGTTCAAATATCACTGAGACATGCCAGTGAGGAGCTTAAATTTATCATTTGGATTCAAAAGAGAAAACTGCAGTTAACATCATTTTTAGTAACTGGAATACCTACACACCTGTGGACTTAACACATACTCTCAAATTCCTATGGACACAAACAATTTTCTCAAATCAAAAACATTAAGTGGTTGGGAGCTAGAATAAAAACTGAAATGACTGCACAAGGCAGAAGTTGAAAGCATTCTACAGTTGACTGATCACAGCATTTGTCCTGCTGTTTCAATGTAATGCATAGAGTCATCAGTGGAAATGTGTGTGTGTGTGTGTGTGTGTGTGTGTGTGTGTGTGTGTCTCCATAGACTGGGTGTGCATATTTTGAGCCTCCCATTCTCTCTGCCATAGCCCTGGTTTAAATACACATCACACTATCTTTGTATTACTGTACCAGACCCCTAACTTATCACCCCACTTCCAATCTCTCTGATTGGCAACCCAGTCTATTGTATTCACATGAATCTAATCAGCCTAATTTTCATTGAGTACCTTCTTGGTACCAGGAATTATTCTAGTGACTAGGGATACAGCTATGAAAAATACTGACCATGTTGCCTACTGAGAATCTTACTAAAGAAACTAGTGAAAGGGAAAAGACATAAACAAGCAAACAAATAAGCAAGCAAGGTAATTACAGACAATAATAACTACATAGGGAAATGGCTGCCTGCTGGCCACCCTAGATAAAGCCATGTGGTGACTTTCAGGAAATGCATGCTTTATAGAGGGGACAGCAAATGTTAAGGCTGTGAGGCAAGAGAAAACCTGGAGCATGCAAGAGATTATTTTTAAAAGACAGGTGGTGCCCAGCTGGTGTTGCTCAGTGGTTGAGCATCCACCCATGAACCAGGAGGTCACGGTTCAATTCCTGGTCAGGGCATATGCCTGGGTTGAGGGCTAGATCCCCAGTGTGGAGTGTGCAGAAGGCAGCCGATCAATGATACTCTCTCATCATTGATGTTTCTATATCTCTCTCTTTCTCCTTCTCTGAAATCCATAAAAAAAATTTTTAAAGGCAAGTGGTAAGCAGTGAGGAGATGTGGGAAATGAAGTCAGACAGAGACCAACAAGGTATGTAGAGGCCATGTTAGCCACTGTGAGGATTTGGGCTTTTATAACATAAGTTTTTTACAATGTATTGGGAAGACTCTGAGAATGAGTGACCTTTGTGCTTTTCAAAGGTCACTCAGGTTGCTGTGTGGAGACAGGAAGATGACAAGAGTGGGAGAGTGGGGAAGGTAGAAGGCATGGCAGTCACCTAGGAATGAGCAATGGTGGCAAACTCTCTCTGTAAAGGACCAAACAGTAAACATTTCCAGCTTTGCAGGCCTACAACTACACCTGGCATTCTAACACAGCACAAAAGTGGCCACAGACAATATGCAAATAACATGACTACTTTCCAAGCAAATTTTATTTATGAACAGATATTTGAATTTCATAAAATTTTCATGTTACAAATCATCCTTTTGATTTTTTTCAGACCACTTAACAATATAGAAACTATTCTTAGCCTGCAGACCTCACAGAAACAGGTCCTGAGCCAGAAGCTGGCCTGCAGGCCTCAGTTTGCCACCCCTTCCCCCAAGTTAGCCTGCAGCTGTGGCAGTGGACATGGGGAGATATTTGGAGTTTATAAGGATACAGAGTTCACAGGACGTGCAACTGGGTTCACACAACAAGTGAAGAAAAGGGGAAAATGGAGGAAATTTGCTGGGTTTTTACCTGAGCAGCTGACAGATCACCCCGGCCCAGAACCCTGAAGCCCTGTGATCTTGGGACTCTCACAAGCCCCTTTCGCTGCCTCACTGTGCAATAAATCTAACCACCTGGCACTGTGTTTCAAATCCTCATCACCTGGCACAGCCAACTTCTCCAACCTTGCCTCCAACTGCCACCCTTCACCTGCCTTACTTTCCAATCACCACTGTTTTCTAGTCTGCAGGCTCCTGTTCACACCCCCAAATCCCTTCCCTTCTGTTCTTCTATGTCCAAATCCCAGGCATCCTGCACTGGCCATGGAGAATGCCACCTGTCCTCAAAGACTCCTGGCTCTCCCAGCAGGAAGGAACAGAGTGCCAGCCCCTCTACTTCTATTTCTCGCACCACATAGCTCCACCTCTATTTGTGTGAGGTGCTAGGATTCACATCTCAGGCCACTGCCTAAACTTTAAGCTCAAAAAAAAAAAAAAAAGGACCACATATATATCCTTACATGTGGTACGCACTGAAACATTTATTAAAATATTTAAGATCAGTGTGGAGGTGTGGAAGGCAGAAATAATTATATATGTGCCTGTACAAGAAAGCTGCTTTCTTGCTCTTCTAATAATAACTTTTTAAAGGACAGATATTTAAAACAGGAACCACTAGCAATAATTCAGGGGCTACCTTTACCACTTCTCTTAAACCTTGCTATTAAACCCTCCAAACGTCAATGCCCTGTTTACATGAGAACAATAAAAAAGGTCTTGTTGAAAGGCTTGCCTTGAAGCAACTCCAAAAGTCTTCTTTTATTTGATGTATTTCATGTTAGACAAACATTTTTAAAACATTCAAAATAAAGACAATATGCTAGCTACCTCCAACAGTAAGCATCCAACGTGCTCAGAACCAGCCTAGGAAACAACCATCTAGCCCACTCACCGAGAGGTGCTCCCGCCCGGCTTTGTCAGCAACATCTGTGGAAGGAATCTCGTTACTTCTGTTCGTGGTGTCCCCGATGTCATTCGCTGCAGTCCCATAATCTTAAATTGGAGAAAAGGGAAAGAGACAGAATAGTGAAGTTGTCATTAAGCTATCAACAAACACGAAGCCACAGTATGACCCAAAACAAAACCAGACAGATCAAAAAATTCCAAACCACTGACAGCCTGGCTGGGGAGGAACAGGACCTGGCTGCTGGGTTAAATCCATTGCAACACTGGGACTGCACACCGTCAACTTCATACTCAACCCAGATCTCTGCGCCCTTGTTTTGGTGGTCAAATTCTAAACCTCGTTTGGGGTGTTTCTTTGCACATAAATATATACTATTATGCCTTTTCTGATTAAGCACTTGACATAAATACGAAAAAGAATCAATCATCTATGAGTCACAGATTTGTAGACCTGGAAGAATCTTTAAAGACCAAGTCTAACCGTCAGTTTTGCAAATGAAAAATGTTCATTGACTACTCTAAGGTCAACTGGCAAGAAAGTAACAGAGCCTAGACCTGAATAAGACTGGAAATCAGCAGCCCTGATTCTAAGGCAGATGCATCCTATTTGGGTAAGAAGCAGCCACTAGAGATGAAATATGAAATCAAACTGATAGGGAACTTGGGCACACACATGAACTTTTTTGAAGTGTTATGAATCATTAATATTTCTGTTTCAGAATTAATAGACAGGGAGCTGTGCCAACACAATCTTTAGAATTGTAAGGATGCATTATCACATCAACATGTCTCAAATGTGGTTGCCATCTTCTGAATCAATTTTAGAAAATTAATGACTGATTTTTTTTGTGTGAGCCAAAGTTTTATTAGCAATATTGCATATAAAAGTCAGAAAATTTTGTAAACATAATGCAGACAATGTTCTGTATAAATATTTTGTATTTTTTTTCTAAGTAGATATGGTGCCTTCAATTTGCATCCTGAATAAACAACCTCATTAAGTCAGCCCCAGCTAAACTCTCTTGGTAGAATTTCTATGCAAGCCTTGGAGTAACCAATTTAAATTATATTTTTATTAGCAGTGTTCCTTTGAATTTGAATGAAAGTAACAGAAAAAGCATCTATTTTCTATCTGCCTGCTGTTTTGTTTTTGACTGCAAAACTATATCCTCACCATTTCCATTTTGAATGTATTAAAATTCAATTTCAAACACTAAGAGATATCATTTACTTGCTTATTTTTACCTCTTCATATCATACCCAGCCACTCATGGCAAAACTAAATCATTAAAATATCTATAGTTTAATATCATGACATTTTGACCCAAAGACAAAGTGCTATTTGAGGCCAATGGAAAGATGACATTAAGTCTTGAAATTACTGGAAAGGAGTCCAAAGCATAATTTTAAAATGTTAAATCACAATGAAAACGTATTTCTCTGTGATACAATTTGAGATATTCTTCCTTTAAACCATATCAAGATAAGTAAAAACAAAAATAAACAAATCACATGCACAAAATCATCCAAACCAGAGCATGAAGGAATTGTAGCTTAACATGTATAAAGCAAGTAAAGAAAATATAATCTCCTAGTTAAAATTAGCATACAGAATCATGTCTAGAAAAAAAATATCAGTGTGTACATAAAAATAAAAAATTAAAGAAAAATATTTTATAAAATAAATGTATAAATATAATATTTTAATCAGTCTAACTTTGACTCAATCTCAAACTTCAAGCCAAGTCTTAAAATTTAGCCTGCACTTCCCCAAACAGAGGCCTCCTGGTCATGAAGGTGGTTTGAAAATCTGTGAAAGATGGATTTTCATACTTAGCAAAACTTCTTTGGCATTTGACTAAAATGGCAAAGTACAGATGAGATGTTTGGTTAAAAGTTAATATACTGTACCTTTAGGTTTCCCCCTCCCACATTCCTAAAAGAACCCCATTTTATTCAAGGGATTCAAGCACATCCTCCAGGGAAACTAATCTAAACTCCAGGGGTGGTTCAGTCAAGGGGTAATCCATCCTGCTTATCAGTCAGGGAGGCAAAAATGGTTCAAGACCCAACTGGGTCTTAAATCCAATACAAGGAGGATCAGATGGAGGTTTCTGGGAAAATTACCTTCCTTCTGGAACCCTTTCAGAAACTCTCCCTTTTCTCAGATCAGTGTGAACAACCATAGCCCCTTTGTTGGCCTCAGCTAATAATGCACTAGAGTGGGGGGAGGGGGTGGGTGGGCATTGGTGAAGGCAGAACAATGGGCAGAGGAGGGGTAGAGATGAAAAAAACTTGGGTCCCTGATGACATGATTAAGCTGCTGGTTTAATCCACCCTAAAACATGCCAAACTTCCTTATTATATAAGAAATGTAATTTTGAATTGGGTTTACTGTCATAACTAGAAACCGATACACCGCCGTTTTCTTGGTAGCCATGGCTTTTAAACAGGCAATTAGTTCCCAATTATGGAAACAAATTGTTGCAGCAGAATGGATTTACTACTTCCAAGAATAGAGCATGAGAGAGAAAATGCTATTTACAGGCACTGTAAATATCAAGGGAAAATGGTCATCAATATTGAATGATTTTGCCGGGCCGGAATGGCTCATTTGGTTTAGTGTCATCCTGTGCACCAAAGGGTTGTCGGTTCGATACCTGGTCAAGGCACATGCCTGGGCTGCAGGTTTAATCCTACACATACAAGAAGCAATGATAATGTTTCACTCTCTCTCTCCTTCTCTCTCTCCCTTCCTCTCTCTAAGCATGTCCTTGAGTGAGAATAAATATATATAGAGAGAACAATTTTATTAGAAGTATTATTTTGGGCTATGTATTACCTGAAATGTATATTTAACTGCACTTAAAGGTTTTCTGTTAGCTGATTTATTTCATGCTAGACAAACATTTTGAAAAAATACAAAATAAAGACAATGTGATAGCTACCTTCATAAATTACGTCGGGATAATTTGGGTCTGCACCTAAAAAAACAAAACAAAGCAAAAAATTGTAAGTATGCATTCAGAGTTTAAAAAACTAACTTATTCCGACTAAAATGAGCCAAATATTTATTGAAGATTTTATGACTGAATAAATTGTTTTATAGGACAGGTAAATAAAATCTGAAATTCTGTTTACTTTATGTTAACTCTGCTCCCCTCTCAGGCCCACAACCTCCACCCCTCTAAAAAAGAAAACAAAAATCAAGAGAAATCACAAATCACTTTAGCTGGAAAAACTTCAGCAATTAATGACTTAAGACCAATTTTTTTTTTTACTGTTTCTATTATATAGTTGGCTATTTTAGTTGCAATTTGTATTCCAAAGACAGACCATTTCTGTACCACGTTGTGATTCTAGGTTGATTGGGGGGGTTCCTTTCAAACTATGCCTTTGGCAGGTCCATTTGCATTTGTGAATACATTATTAATCGGCCTATATAACAATATCTAAAGCAATTTGAACAAAATTGCTTTGTTCACTGCTTGGTCTTCAGGAGCTTGCCAAGGCTGAATAAGCCCTTCCCTCTTTTTATTGTTTTTGCCCTGACACAACACACACACACACAAAATAAATGTACTTTCTCTATTGAAATAGTTTATGTATGAGATTATAAATTAATATGTAAAGAGAAGTGCAAAAGTATACCCACTTAATTTTTTGAATGACTGTATTCACTGAGATGATCAGAATATTGTCTTAAAATATTCCTATGAGAATTTTGCAAAAACATTTTGTAAAAGTCACTGTCAATAAGAACTGGTGACAAAAATATTTCCTACTTTCCATTCAGAACTTACTGGGCCTCTAGATGAAAGCCTACTTGGAAATAAACTTATACTTTGATATAACATTTAAGTGATTATTAAATGAATTTCCAAAGCTACTTCCTATGCTTTTAGTCTTCACTTATCATGTGAAAAAGTAAAACTTGTAAATCATAAAGCTTACTTAGTTCTCATATCTCTTTTGAAGCTTTAGCAGAAAAATATTATTTAAAATAAAGTGAAATGAGCCAATTTTCTGTTCATGTACTCCCTAGTGAATAATTAAGGTTAGCCTAAATGAAGAAACAAATAAAAGTGGCCCTGTTTAAAATAAATTTTTTAACACAGTTCAACTAGAAGAACATCCATTTTAGCAAGGGAAAAATTAAGTAGATGATTGTGCACTTTGATTCAGGGATGTTATGTACTGCCGTGCAGTCCACACTTTGTACAACTCTAGGGGGCACTATTCAGCCTCGTCTATGTGAAAGGCACCGTCTGAAATTACGCAGTGCACACCTGTGCAGGATTTGAGATGGCCCTGTGTCAATTCATGCACAATTATTGATTCCAGGAATTTTCAGTGGTATTTTGAGTTTTATTATCCCAAATACCATTTTTAAGTTTTGAGTTGCAATATGTCCATATGTACTGTCAGAATTATTTGTACCTGATGTGGCATTCCAGAGAAGGGTCTTGAAACTACCCTGCACTTTGAGAGATAATTCAGTGAATAAAGCAACAGGCAATCCCAGCGGCAGCCCTGGCAACTTCATTCGCCAGGCACACACCCATCTGCTAAAGTCCTTTCCCTTTGCAAACTTCATGGACCAAATGGTGTCCCCTCACTGTGAGAATTTCCTACTCCTGCTGAAGGAAAGGTCCTATAACCCCAAGTCAGCAAATCATTCTTTGAACTTCTCAGTAATCTATTACTTTAAAGAATCCCACTCTGGTCCCCTACTCCTTGAACAAGGTATATTGAATCTGCAAGGGGACCTGCCCACCGGAGTCCACTCTTCACTTCTAGACCTCACTCCAGGTGCCCACAACCTAGAACTCCCTCCTCACAGGCCCCAAACACACGGGTGGCCACACCATTAGTATGAGCACCCTGTGACCCAAGACCCAAGGGAGGGGTGAGGACTGAGCCAAGATAGATGGGCTGGGGTGTCCACATGCTCACTCACTACATCTCATATATGTCTTGTGAATAGTTGGAGGCACGGGACAGGAGCCCTGGACAGGGACCACCTCTCCCAAAACCACTATGTTCTAGCACGGAACTCTGAGAGTCTGACAATCCGATCCTCAAACCCAGCCTTCCAGATCATTACAAGCATGTTTGGAGGAGGATATCACCTATTTTACTTAACTCATTAATTTGATTTATATTTTTAAGTATTTGGATATAAATATGAGAACCTCCTTTTGTACTAGGGTGACCCACCATCCCAGATTGCCAGAGGCCAAGGGGATTCCTGAGACATTGGACTCAAAGTTTTAAAACTGGGAATGGTTCCAGGCAAATCCTTGCAGTTTGTCCAGGAATGAGGGCTTTCCCTGGGCATAGGGCTCCTAGTGCTAAAACTGGGACTACTGGTCACCTGACCTGCTCTCGTGCCCTCAGAGACCCCCCACCCAGTCACCACCCACTTTTACAGGTATAATTCCATAAGAAAGTCAAAAGACATCATGAGGATTTGAAGCAGATTTATCTAAGCCGCACATTGGCAGGGCCTCAGGGGAAATGACTGACAGGTGCCATCAGCCTCATCACAGAAAGGGAGCACCCAGACACATTCCTCACACAAAGCTCCCGGGAAATCCAAAACATCGAATCAATTCAATGGAGCAAACGTCAGGTTACAGAAAAGTGGGATTTGGGGGTGGGATCAAAAGTACACAAGTTAGCCTATAACCTGTAACACAGGCTCTTGTCCAGGCTTCTGACGCCTATCGCTGCATGCCTTTCCTACCAAGTTTAATCGCAAAGCCATCGGGCGATGTCTAAAATTTCTAGAAAGCACATTTTTCTGACTTCATCATCCTAGATGTATGAGATGTACTGTCACTTTCCTTTTGTCCTCAGGAATAGCCAAATTTAATGCAAGATTATGAAACTCACGGAGAGACAACGTGGGAGGAACAATGATGGGGGGTTTTTTTGTTGCTTTATTTTCCCTCCCTAGCATACTGTACTATGTCTGATGAGGACCTACTTGTCACAATAAAGAAATGCCTCTCCAGGTACAAAGGTTTGGGAGGCCTGGCACATGGAGGGTGCCCAGACCTAGCATTTATGCAGAAGAAGGGTCACATTACTCCAGCTGACTCCAGCTCATCAAGCATAGGATTTTGCTTCTGGCAATTGCTTAGTCAAGCGAACCTCCCAGGATGTTTACATTCCCATAGTGAGGTGGTTATTAACATCACTTTAAATGCAGACACAGGAAACAATCACCACTTTCCTCTTTGACCTCTGGCAATGGTCAAATTCTGAAAATATCCTGCCATTTTTAAGTCTAATTTCTACCTGGTTTCTTTTATTTAGTTTAAATATGTCCATCATATGTTGTTATATGCTAACAATAGAAACCCCTGTTGGTGATATTCAGGACTAAAAGGTGACTGAGGTAAGGCAATGAGTAGCTCCGAGGGGGAAAGCCAACAGGAAGAGAATGAATGAAAGATGAATGAGCAACATCGGACTTGAGTTATGCACCTGCAGTGGGGATTTGAGAAGGGTTAGGCTTCCTTGAGTCCTATCCTAGTAGCTCTCATTGCATAACAAACCTCAAATCTAGGCAGCAGGAGGTGGCATCAAGCCAGAAAGCTTCTTTTTGGGAATCTCTGGAATAGAATATGGGAATCTAGAAACTCCATTCCATTCCACTGGCATTCCAAACAAGCCGCAGACCACATTCTCCCTCCACAGCTCACTCACAGGCAGAAGCTACAACTGTTTTCCAACCCAAAGAATATGCGTGCCAAGCAGGAATGTTTGCCTGTCTGATGTTCAAGTTCTAATTTCTGAAGGATTTTTTGAGTGTCTCCAGGTGCTATACTCATTTGTACTTAGGTTCTTACCGAAGGCATGTTGCCTAGAACTACAGGAGGAAGACTAACAGGGCCCGAGTTCAGCCTGAAGCACTCCTGGGAAAAGAACAATGGAGACTGTATCACAGTCACACGTGCACTCCCAACAAGCTCGGTATTAAACCTGCAATGTCTGCACCCCCAAGAGAGGACCTGCGGGGCATTTAGGCCTCTAAACATGGTCCACAAAATCACCTTCCCATCCCCCCCCCCAAATAATATCAAACCAGAGCACCTCATCATCCTCATAATTTGATGCTAAATGACTTAAATGAGGATTTTTTGATTTCCATCTTCTAATCTCAGGTATTGCTCATGAGTAAATCTTATAACTTTATGTAAATCTTCATGAGTAAATCTTTATGACTTTTAACTGTAAGACTGTACAGTTAAAGGGAAAAAAAAAACATTTGTAGGAATAAAGAAATTTGTGGGAAGATAGATAGCCTGACAGTAGGGTTCCCGTTCCATTCTGTTGCAAAGTTAAAAATAATGGTGGAGGCCAGAAAACACATCTGTTTCTCTCCTTTAAGCTTTTAGTCTCTCTCTAATGCCCTAAAAAAAAAAATAAAAGAGAGAGAAAGAAAAAGAAAAGACTTTTCTTTAAATTCTATTTTGAGATTCTCTCTAGTGTGATCTTGAAAAGTATTTCAAAGAATGCCGTATGATAAAGCCATAGCAAAAGGCCTGGTCTTTTCAAACGAACTGGCCTTTGTCAACAGTGTTTTCTAGCTCATAGGGGTTCGCCTTTTGATTCCAGATCCCTCTCCTCTTCCCTTTCTGAATGGCAGGCTGAACTCAAGGCCCGAAAACATTGGGGGTTCAGATGTCTGGGTTTCATTTCTGGCTGAGCCATGAATGTAGGCAGCATGGGGAGCGAGTCTGCTCACTTTTCCTGTACAAAGGAGTCTTCCCCATGACGGGAGCGGATAATAGCATTGGCTCTGGCAAGTCCTTGGGAGTTTTGGGAAGCATAATTAATTAACATTAGTACTCTTGAGACATAAAGAGCTATTTAAGTATAAATCTTAATTATCATGATTAGTATGGGTTTATGGCCGAATCAGACTTCACAGTTATTTAAGGCAGAAAGGCAGGTAGAACTTCCCTTTCACTCCCAGGACAAGAAATGGGAACTGACAAATGGCCTGAGGGGCCAGTGGCAGATTGGAAAGGGTTATTTTCTCAATGCTATACATTTGGAGGAATTTCCTTTCTCTACATTCTTTGGCCTCAGTACACCAGATCTAAATCTGCCAGTTTGAGGGTAATTCTAAGTGCTCTAGTTCATCCAGACGTCATGAATCTCTTGATAAAACAGCACGAAGAAGAAGCTGTGGGGAAAACTCTTCCAGTATTTATAGTTTGTTCCTGACGCGAATTTTGCATAGGAAACAACAGCTCCCGAATTAGGAAGCATAAGTCACTAACTCCCACTGCGTGTGTGAATGAGCATTCCGGAGCTGTGACATTCTTCCTGAATGAGTGGGCCATGGAGACACTCTGTATGTGCTGCCTAAAGACTGGGACGCTTCAATCCAAGGTATTTTATCAACTAGTGCCCTGACTAGGTTTGTCCCAAGTCTAAATGTTTAGTCACTCAGGTAATGATTTCCATAGAAAACTGTACTCTTAAACAATCAACGTGTTCAGGTTCATAGAGCTATCTGACCTTGGAAAGGTGTGCTGATTAGAAGATACTAGCAAAGTCTTCAGGATTCTCTCTCATGACATTCACAAGCATCGTGCCATTAATTTTTGTTTGAAATTCTACTTAAAAGACACCCTCACCAGTTCTAACCTCCACGTAGCCTACACACACACACACTTTCATGTCATGAAGAGGATTTTTCTATATGGGGGATTGAATTCCAATGACAGCCACATAGTGGATCAATTTCACCTCAGACAGGCTTATTTTTGGCCCGTAAGCTAAATAGGATCCAGCAGAATCTTAGGAGAATTTTCAGATAGCTCCACGCTTTCTACGTGTGCCTGCACTGCTCTTTCTACATTTTAATTCACTCTCCCAAGCCTCCTTAAGCCATGCATTAAATTCATCCTACTTCTTGCCAAACCCAATTCAAATGCATCTCAGTGCACCAATTATTCTATATTTTTATCATTATTACTATTGGTATCCAAGAGGAGTCAGTATGGATGCCTGGCCAGTTCTCCCAGTGGCTTCCCCCAGGTTCTGTGGGGCACTATGTCCAGTATTTCCACGCCACTCGAAAGTCAAGGCCATCAGGAATGTAACTACTTCCAACCAGTCTGTTCTCTTCCATGCTCGCCCATTTCTGTTTTAGGGACTTTTTGATTTTATTTCTGTTTAAATTTCTTCCAACGTGCTTCATCACCTAGCTCCAAATAGAGAATGAATTCCTAAGGCAGGTAACCATCCCATAAAAATCTTGGTTCTGAGCTGAAGAGGGACACACACTGAGGACAGCAGTGCTGTCATGTTAACTCTCCTGCTCTGTGTGGACATGCAAACCCACTCCACTATGATCCCAGGCTGCCAGCTTCCTTGTAAGCCAGGAAACTCACAATGTTTAAAAGAAGGGATCTCATCAAAACAACTGAGAAAATATAACTAAAACATTTTATCAGAAATATTTGCAAAAGCTAAACTTCATCAGTTACTATATGATGACAGCAGAAATATGGAACAAATATAAACTCAAACTTGACCTGTTGTCCTTAACTTGGAATGTACCTTTTAGACCAGCAGGGAAATGAATTGCATATATTTGCTATTTATTTTTCTTTCATTTTAAATGGGGAGGAGAGGGAAAGGAATCCATTCTATGCAAAGCCATTATCTGTATGCTCTGGCTACAAATCTTGTAAATACCCACAAAGATGCTATCACACAAGCCAAGTGAGGTCAGCTATAATTGGTCACACTGGTGTATGGCCCACGAGGGCCATTTATATCCACTGTCACTCTGGGCCAAGTCTCTTTCATTTCCACTTTCATTTATTACTCCTTGAGAGCTGGGTCTTGAGTAAATACTTAAAGAGAAAAAACAAAATCATTTTTTTCTAAAAGCAGATATTTACATTTTAAAGACATTTATAATATTGAGCTGAATTTTTATTTTTGATAAATAAATGGTTATTTCTCTTAAAGAAGATATTTGAGAAACTCCAAGCTAGTCTTGTGCCAGAAAACAATTCTCCTATCACTAGCTGAGTTAAAACAAACAGAAATAATTGATAAAAATGAGGCCACATGGATAAGAGGAGGTAAGCTCTCTCAAACACTGGCACCATACAGAAGCATTCAAAACAAAATACATCAAAATCCCACCTAAAATAGAAGCTGCTGGCTTTACATGGACAGAACTGTGCATATATCAAAGCACACAAGCCACTTCTAAAACTTTTAAACGTCTGACCTTCACCCTGCACAAATTCATCTCCAACAGTTTCAAAAAGCAGTTGGCGAAATTCAAATAAAGTCTGCAGTTTAGTTAACAGTAATATAACAGTGTCAGTTTCTTCGTTTTAGCAGATGTATTGCAGTGATGCAAGATGTCAACGATAGCAAAGACTGGGTACAAGGTAGCTGGGAACTCTCTCTACTGTCTGCAACTTTTCTGTAGATCTAAAATTATTCACAAATAAAAAGTTTACTTAAGAACAAACCAAAAGCAGTTGTCCCAAAGCAGAGTCCCTGGTTTAACCTATGAAGCTGTAATCCCTGTAACATACAAGAAAAAAAACAACAAAGTAATCTAGAGATTTACTACAGCAAATGTAGCCAAACAGCTAAACTCAATTGAGAGGAAGAATTAATGGGAATGGCCCCTGCCAGAGCTGTCTGGGTAAGGCATCCAAACATTGTGTGTTTTATACACTCCTGAAAGGATGCTTGTAAATCAAACTTATAGAATTCAAATCACAGTTTAAACACTAAGGAAGCTTGTGCATTACCTAGCCATGGAATAAATTCCAGGATAATGGGAACATTTATTATGATTGAGAATTATGACATTCTCATTTAATGTTTGTTGAAGGTGGCTTCGCATACATCACCTTTGTCCATGGGGCTGCCCTGCGAGCCACAGGAGTTTATGCTTCCCAAGCAGCCCCTGTCTCATGGGCCTCCAAGTTTCTATTTTCCCTTCCTTCTGCCAAGCCATCTTTGTGTGGCTTCGATTAACTCAAAACTATTATGGTGAAGAATTCAACTCATGTACAGGTCCCAATATCCAAACACAAGCCTCAGCCTCCACAACAGCGACAGGTCTCTGGGCAGCAACACCAAGCAAGCAAGAATACTCCTCTGAAGCAGGTAAAGACATGACAACTACCCTTGCTGTTATCGGGGCTCACACTAAGATCCTGCTGCTGGCCCCAGAACAGACTCCTGATGCCAGCCACCCTTTTCCCAACCCAAGCCACTGGTCAGACGAAAACTATCACCAGTCCTAGAAAAACAATTCAGGACCTGATCAAAAAAAGGCCTCAACTCAGTCAGTTCAGGTAAGCAAAACATGCCAAGGCACTGGTTTCTCATCTATGGATCAGAAAGTAGGATCCTGAGTTCCAAGTGGCTAAGGGGCTAGAAAATACATCTTAATTTGTTCAGGAGCCAACCAAACATGTTCCTTCTGCTCATGGTTTTGCCACTGTCACTACAAAATCTCATTAAGCAGCTGGGATAAAAATAATGTGTATATCAGATCATTGTTCAAACTTATTCATCCCCACCATCACCTTCTTGAGAGAAATAGGAGTCCCTACCCCTGGACTGGGCTTTGGCCCTGGGACTTGCTTTGACCAAGGGCATATAGGCTGAAGAGACCATGCGCCAGTCCTGAACGTAGGCCTTAAGAAGCCTTGCACATTTCTAGTTGTCTTTTTGAACTCTATACTCGCCATAGGAAGCAAGTCTCCTGTGTAGCTACTGCTGCTTCACCCTGCATCCCGGAATAAAGACCCACAGGATGAAGCTGCGGGTCTTTTACAGACCCATGAGAACGACCAGGTAGTTCAAAATGATGAGACTAAATAATGATGATATAAGCCCCTGGGTTAAGGGAGGGGGTGTTGTTGTACACGATTTTGTCCATAGTTGAATGGCAGACCCCAGCCTCTCTCCAGATGCAAAAGTATCAGGTACTCACCGTCATCGCCAGGCCAGCCCATGAAGTGAGCAGAAATCTGTTTCTCATCCTTCCCATACTCGTTCTTGGCGACTAACCTGTAGTCCCCATTGTTCATGTGAGTGGGATTATCCAGCTGGAGGCAGCCGTGGTACTCCGTGTGGTTGGTAACATGGATTTTAGTACAGATGTATTTGGACTCATTCAGTATTGCCCGGTTATAGAACCACTGAAGCGCGGGCTTGGGGTTGCCTTTCACAGTGAATGGAATGCACCAGTGGTGGTCTGAGGTTGGAGATTCGAGAAATGTGATAGTTGGAGCAACTAAATTAAAAAAGAGAGAGTTAATAGCATCAGAAAGCTCAAGTTTTTCCCCATTCCAGATTTCTGTGTCATCAATAGGGGATTTTATTCAACCATTGTTTGGTTTAAGAAGGCATATGACCTGCAACCTTGGAATCCATCAATATTTTCTATCCTTATCAAGGTTGATTTAACTCCCTACAGAGAGCTTCAGAGAGACTCCTGCCCCTGCTCAGCTGAAGACCCATGCATCACAGTCATTTTCACATCTATTCAGTGTGGGAACCTGCTCCAAACAGATCCTAGAGACTTCTGACTGCAGAAAGGGTTCAACTGAAGTTGACTTGGGTTTATATGCCTTGATGTTATATAGATTGATCATCAAAACATTGAAGGTCACTATTGCAGTACTTCATAATAAATACAAAAAAAAAAAAAAAAAGACTGGAAATCTTGCCTACAGTCCTAATCTCACCTAAATTATTTAAAAAGATCAATGCTGCAAATGTTCCTATCAATGCTGATTGATTTCACTGATTGTCAATAGTAAATGCTCTTTAAAAGCATCACATTTATTTATAATACAGTTGGGGTTTTTTTGGGCTGTGTCAATGTTTTGATCCTTCTAATAGCTGAAGTCCTATCTAAACCTGGACAAACAAACTAGAGACTATTTTAACATTAAATATAAAGAACTTTATGCTTCAGAAAACAAACATTATCAAGTAGCTCATTTAAACAGTAATTATCCTAGGTCAGTGGTCGGCAAACTGCAGCTTGCGAGCCACATGCGGCTCTTTGGCCCCTTGAGTGTGGCTCTTCCTAAGCCTTAGGAGTACCCTAATTAAGTTAATAACAATGTACCTACCTATATAGTTTAAATTTAAAAAATTTGGCTCTCAAAAGAAATTACAATCGCTGTCCTGTTGATATTTGGCTCTGTTGATTAATGAGTTTGCCGACCACTGTCTTAGGTGAAGGTATTAAAAACCCCTCATAGTTTATTTTAATGTCATCTGACTTTGATTATACATTCAAGGACTGTAAACACTTTTGAGACCTAATAGCATTCTTTCTCAGATGAAGAAACCCAAGTCCAATGAGGGTAAGTATATTGGTCAAGGTTACTGATTGAGGCAGGTCTGAAACAAGAATCCAGGTCTCCTGGTGCCCAATCCAGAAGCCCAGCTTCCTGGATGTATAGGTTCCTGACATGAAAGGGCAGGGGGTGGGGGTGATAACTAAAACACTCTGAGCAAGGTCCCTGCAAAGATGAGCTCAGTTGTTAATATTCTGTACCACTTATTCCTCCTACTCTTTATCTAAACTTTGATAGATAAAGCTAATTCTTCATACCATGGCTACCACATAGATATGAACCCAAACTGAGAACATTTTGAACTTCCATGTCCTTATTTGGAGGTCCGTGTTGCAAACACAGGACCACAGTGGGGTAGGAACCACACTTACCTTCCTCCCACAGGCCCCAGACCCCATTCCCAGGACACATTTACTCCTTCCACCAAGCTCAAAAGAGCTTTGGGTGAGGTGTTGATTTAAGGCTATAAAGTTGGAAGCTGGTTGCATATGTTTGGGGGTAACACTGACTTCAGGCTTTCAGGAAGGTCAAAATGATTAGAAATTATAAGTCCAGAGTCTACTGGGCATAGTGGTAATACTGCCAGTGACAAAGGATTATGGTTGGTAATTTTAGTCATTCACTCCAACCCCCACAGACTGTAGGTCCTCTATGAGTGAACATTAACCAGTGTCTATATGTGTGCAGTGTGGATTTGTGCATACACACACCACACATCATGTTTGTTTGTTTTTTGTTTTGTTTTGTTTTCAGAGTAAAAGTTCATTAATTTGTACCATCCAGCTCAGAATTTGCAATGATGTAAACAGTATATGTGATTTTTACTGAATATACATTCACACTGAGCATTACAATCTGGAATGTTAAGGTATGTGTCATGTTATTTATTAATACTAGAGAAAAATGTACATATGCTTAAGAAGTATCACTATCCTCTAGCTTAGTTTCCATGTATACAGAAATTTAAAACAGATATAATAATAAAAGATTTTTGCAGGCGATAATAATTTTCAATAACTGAAGTAGGACTCCTCCAACCTTCTCATGGAAACTTGATGTCAAATTAATGAGGTTTTATTGTATCAACAGTACAAGTAGGTGTTTGTGAACAGCCAGCCCCATGCTTTAGGTATCAGAACTCTAACGCTTTATATTGCTTTTATAAAGAAAAAGAAATTAGAAACTGGTTTATCAGAATTTAAGCTAAAAGTTATAAACAAGAGGAGGATAACCAGCTCAAAATATGTTCTATCAAATAAAGACTGGGGAGGCACAGAGGACAAGCTTAAAATTGAAAAGAAGCTTAAGGGAAAGACAGCGCATGAGCGAGAAAGATTAGCAGAAATAGAACAAGTGAATGAGGCTGATAACATTTCTTAATTAAGTATGCACAGAACACGGCATACACCTTTTTTTAACACACGTAAGCAGCACCCAGAGTGCCCCAACGACATATGTAGGGGTGTCCACGATCATTTGCTATTAAAAACACATGCTGGTCTGATTACGTACAATGCACAGTGAGGTTCACAGAATCTTGATCTTCTCCTACAAGATTTTCTGCCACACAAGAGATTTGCTTTCCACTGTCATCAGATGAAATGTTAGTTATCCTTAAGGAGCCCTGTGTGTGGCTTGTTTCATTCTACAAATGAATTAACAGACAAAGATAATCTTTGTTAGGACTGGTCCCAAAGTGACAAGATTTGGGGTTTCTTCCCCTAATTAGAGAAAATAATTGATAACATCAGAAAAGGTTTCCAGCCTAATCAAGCACAGGCAAAGGAGTAAATCAGACATTGTTCTATTTCTCTAGATGGCAATTGTTTAATATGTGAAATTGATTTAATCCTGAAACGCCTACCTACCTTCCTCCAAGGGAAAAGGAGTCACTCACCTTGCTCATGATGACACAAAAAGCTCACTAGAGACATAGACTCTCGCCAGTCTATTGGGTTTACATAACTAAAATGCAAACCTGCATTAGTCTTTGTTAATTAAGAATAAATAGAAAGTAAATATACACCAACAATTCCTCATGTGCTCCTATAAAATATTAAATGATCATCACTAGGTTAATAAAACCTCAAGTTCTGAGGTACTCTCATCAGTCTATGAACACAGAACCAAAGATGAGTCTTACCATATGTTTGGAAACCAGATTACCGACATCCCAGTACAAACTCGGAACTGGATCACCCTCAACACTGCAAGATAATGTGATAGACTTCCCTTCCTCCACAGTGAGGTTAGGCGCGGCCAAATTTGCTGACGGCAAACCTGTGCAATAAGAGAAGTAAATGGAGACATATACAACTAAATACATTATTAAAATCACAGCAATAAATTGAAAACTCTTCATGCTTTAAAATTAATTATTATTTACTTCCTGAGACTGATATATGTTGATCTGAAAAAGAGTCAGGTTGGTAAGTTTTACAGATTTAATGTGAACCAAGAATGTGCAGTAATTAGATTAGAAAGCAAATTTTACTCATTTCTTAAAAATAATATTGCAGAATTACTTTATTTAAAAAACAACTCTAGTTTGTAAAACTATGTCTTCTACTTCTTTTTTCTGTTCTACAGTTACTAGTCTGGTTTTTTTTCCACATAAACAGGCATCTGTCTGGGACCACCTTAGCTCCCCCATCTCCCTCCCTCCACTTTTTAAAAATATATTTTTGTTGATTTCAGAGAGGAAGGGAGAGGGAGAGAGAAATAGAAACATCAATGATGAGAGAGAATCACTGATCATCTGCCTCCTGCATGCCCCCTACAGGGGATCAAACCTATAACCCGGGTATGTGCTCTGACTGGGAAGTGAACTGTGACCACCTGGTTCAAAGATAGATGCTCACCCACTAATCAACACTGGCCAGGCTCCCTCCACTTTTTTATAGTCAAGAACAAAAGAGTGAAAGGCATCTACATTTTGCATAAATCCATTTTTAAATTTAGTAATTCATAAATCTAACCTACTACCAGACCTCTGTTTTGAAAGAGAATCAAACTATGTGCTGGGGTCCAACCCCAGCAGGTCCAGGGGTCCCCAAAGGTGTGGACGGAGTCGGCGAAGAAGGAATGACACAGAGGCAGCGTTCAGTTGATCAGCATGGTTGGGTTCTCTTGCCTGGTTCTATTGCCAGGTTCTGTAGGTTCTCCAGCCAGGTTCAGTCACCAGGTTCTAGTCAGGTTCTCTTGCCATGTTCTATCCAGGTTCTGTAGCCAGGTTCTGTCTCTAGGTTCTTCAGCCAGGTTCAGTCACCAGGTTCTAGTCAGGTTCTCTTGCCAATTTCTGTAGTCAGGTTCAGTCCAGGATCTTTTGCCATGTTCTCTTGCTAGGTTCTTTCTCTAGGTTCTGTCTTCAGTTTCTGTCCAGGATCTTTTGCCATGTTCTCTCCAGTGAAGTTCTTCTGTCTCTAGGTTCTGTGTAGGTTCTGTGTCTAGGTTCTGTGTGCTGTTGTCTTGTTACATCTGTATTTATACCAGTTGATTCCAATCCTATCAATCTCTATTCCAAAGGTTAGGGCGTTTCTTATCTCCATTCCAGGGAGTAAAGATTATGTAGCTTAAGCGTGATTGTTCGTAGTTAAAGTGATTAATTACCCGCCTGGCACTTAGTTAAGGGGTTTTATTCCCTCCCTAACTTCAGGGGAAAATCCCTACCCGGGGAAACAACCTTTCTCAGAGAGGTGACCTTGGGTAAAACACATAGTGCCAAGAAGGTGAGCAAACATATTAAGAACAGTATGCCATATATGCCAGGTCCCTTGAAACAGCAAGGATGGACCGGCTCCCAGCAACTATGGAAAGAAAATGTAATTTCAAAGCATGTTTCAAAGGCATGAAGCTTGAACCACCACAGTATTACGATGTTTCAAAGCTATGTAAATCACAGTTAAACATGATGGGTAAAATTGGTCATTCTATTTATGATATGATGAAAAAAGTTAGATGGATCCTTATTCCAATGAAAAGTTCTTTTGTAGAAAAACCGAAAGTACTCTTTATCTGATGAAAATTTGAACCTTATAAACATTTTTCAATATTTCAGGAGAGCATCATTTCAATACTTTTACATTTCAAATGCTAGCTTTCATTTATTGATGCGGCTGTCACTTCATTAAACTATCACACCTATCAGGTATTTACATTGCTTTTAACCATATAGGAATCACAGTATTTTTCACATGAAGACAGGTCCCAGAGCATGTAATAGTATGTCAGATCCTGCCAGTCAAGCTAGTCCCTTGCTTGGTATCAGAAACTGCTTGGGACTGCATTCATCCCAACAGCTGTGTCCCACGGAGCTATGACACATGATTAACTCAGGAGTAACCTACAGGTCAGAAAAGGCAATTCTTCTTCAATGGCCATTATATTGCAATTAACCCACCCACCTAGCATTCTGTGACCCATCTGAGCTTCACAATGCTACACCCTTCCCTTATGATGCAGTCCTTAATGACAAAGCCATTATTCTTTATTACTAACACCAGACTGAAACAAGATTTATACAGCATGTCTCATGGTATTCCCACCAGTAGCAGAGGACTTCCCGACAAGTTCTGACTTGCAGGGACTGGTGTGACCTCTTCAGAACTCTTCCTTCCTGTCAGCATTCATAGAGAGCAATGTTGTGTCTTTCATGGGGTTTCAAAAGGCCCCTAGTCCTCTGAGTTATACAGGACAATGAAGTGAATATGAGGATCAAGAGGCAGTGCAATTAATAGGAATGAACTCTCAGTCAGGAGTCAGGAGCCCGCGACCCTAAATCTGACTCACACTGTGTGGCCTTGGGTGAGTCATTTCCTCTAGCCACGTGTTTTCTTTAAATTTCTATAAAATTCAGCTGTTCATTTAGAAGACCGAGCTCTAACTTCTTCTTGTTCTAATATTTGGTGACAAATTCCATGACAATTAAGCTTTCCAATTTATTAAGAAGTTGTCAAGGCAAGATATAAGAAAAGGGCTTATGAAGTGAAAAATCTCCTTGAAGTCAGTGGTATAATCTAGGTCACTTTTTAAAAACTATATATATTTTTAAAATCAAAATATATAGTCACATAGTTTGAAGAGTCTATAGTTCTACAAAACTTGTTATGCAAAACATTCAGTCTAGTTTGTGATAAGCAGTAGTCTCACCTCACCCGTGTGGCATTATTTCCTATTCCCCATAGGCACTCATTTCATCTCCTAATGGTTCTTTTTTGACCGTGATCTCTACATTGATAAATACCATGCCTATGTTGCTACTTCTTGATTTCCCTGTGTTAACACTATCTACTGACCAATCGCTGTGGAAGATAAGGTTCACTTTCACACAGAAGGCCAACCCTCCCCACATGCCCACAGCACATTCAACATACTCTGTCTTCACGCTCTTATATATGCTGTGAAGTTAGGCTGTCTAGATGTAAAGTTTAATTATAAAAATATAAACCCTACAAACAGCTGAACCATCATATGTAATAGTTACATTTTATCAAATTTAAGTCAGCAGTGATTATAGGCTACAACACTGTCATATGTACCACTAAGGAAGGGAAAATAAAGATGCCAACTCAACTACGATGCAATGCTTTCTCACCACTGAGATCTCCTAATGTTGATGTTGAAACTTCTATATATACCATCAATTTTTTTTTCATCCTTTTTTTCCTATGTTCCATATTTTTGTATATTTGTTCTATTTACCGGGAGATTTCCTCAGGTTTACCTTTCAAACCTGCTTCTGGGGTTTTCATTCCTCTGTCCCATGTATTTATTTTCCAAAGCTCATTCTTTTGATAGTGAATGGTATTTATTTTTTTTTAATATTTTATTGATTTTTTACAGAGAGGAAGGGAGAGAGATAGAGAGTTAGAAACATCGATGAGAGAGAAACATCGATCAGCTGCCTCCTGCACATCTCCTACTGGGGATGTGCCCGCAACCCAGGTACATGCCCTTGACCGGAATCGAACCCGGGACCCCCAGTCCGCAGGCCGACGCTCTATCCACTGAGCCAAACCAGTTTCGGCAGGTATTTATTTTTATAGCACCCTGTTTTTCTTTTATAGGTGCAATGTCTCTTCTGATTTCTGTGAGATATTAATGATCATTTCTTTTTAATTGTTTTCTCTCCATATCAACTTTGTTTCTTGTAATTTTTTTCCTTTCTCTCTTTGATCATATTGTGTGTATCTTTTATATTATGAGATTTTCTCAAATAGTTGGTGATCCGTGTCCATTCATACATTCGTAAGAATGAGGTATTAGAAGAATTTGCATATTTATTCACTATTGGCTTCATGTAGGAAAATAGCATTGGCCTCCTCCTGGGTACTCTCTGATGTCAATATTATTAAATCGTTTGGGAAAAGGACTGGTCAAATTATTCAAAAAATGTTCTTTCCCTGTTCTCCTTAGGAAAGGAAGAAGGCTGAAAATATCGATATTCGGTATGTAAATTCATCATTTTCTTATGGTTTTCACAGCCTCAACTCTATCTGGAGATCCTGTGACCAGCATTTTATGCTCTTTAGAGAATAAACATGCTGAGGAGGGAGAGGTGCAGGCACCTAGGATATATGGAACAAAAATGGGACTAACTGCTTCTTAATAGACTTTCAACCAACCCCCTGTATTTGGCATTGCCTGTACTGCCACTTCTTGAGCCTTGTAGTAGTTCTGCAGCATAAACCACGCTTCTTCTTGCCTTTCCCATTGCCAACTTGGTAAATAGCACTCTCAGCCTTTAAGTCAGTTACTACTTTCCAGCTTGCAATTAACTTGTGTGCTTTGTTGACTCTTCTGCCATCTTCTTTGTACTTACAAATTTATCTGCTGATGCTGGAGGGACCATGGAGCCAGGGCCTGCCATGGTGCTTGTTTTTAAGGTCTGACCTTCTTCACAGCCAGAAAACACCAATGGAGCTTGGGGACACCCCTCTTGGTACCTCAAATACAAACCTATGGGAGGAATTCTCTACATTTTATAAATGTATCTCATAGTTTAGGAATTCTGAGCAGAAAAGGATAAAAATAAAGAGTTTCTCAGTAGAGAATCCTATGCCATAATCTTAATTTCCACTATAAAATCTGTTATGGTTTTCTTCTTCAAACCTAAGCTTATATAACTAACAGTTCTAAAAATATTTGTTTAATTACAGTAACAATAATAGCATTTATATAGGCATTCACTAAACCATATATTCTTCTCTAATATTTTAAGTTTTTGTATATTTTAATCCTTACAACCAATCTTAAAGTTAAGTATTTTGCCCTTATTTAAT